CGACATTTTTTTATGTAACTTAGAAATGGGAAATAAGCTGATGGTTCGCCTGATGGAAAGTGGTAACCGTCGCCTATAGACATAACAGACTATATTGTTTCGCCTATGGTACCTCTATTCGTTGCCATTCTGAGGACAGGTTGTTATACCTCTCTACCCTTTAAATTTACTGTCATATCCCATCCTTCCGAAACCGAAACACAGCTATGCAAAGACAACTGCTTCACAGTAAAAATACAAATGAAACAAAAGTACCCAAGCAAACGAATATTGTACAGTCTCCCTTTGGTATATACAAATACAGCTTGATTGTAGAAACCTGTAGATATATGAAGCTGTTCAAACCATACTTATTTATTTTCATTGCACTAAACTATATTAAATAATAGTGACTGTTCTCTCTTCATAATGTAATGCGACCATTTTTATGTATATTCTAATATTATCTATTTTATTACAGCTATTCTTGTCTATAAAGTATAATGAGACATGTGCATAGAATGTTCATATTGCGAAGTGCATTACTGCATTAGTTTTGTCTTTACGCCTAGTACTTTAAGTGTATTTTAAGAAAGAGGTTGTCCATTGGTCCGTATTTTATATATATATGTTTGGCAATATCTTCCTTAATTCTAATAATTTATAATAAATTTTGATATTATTTTACAACAAAGTATATTACCTTCTTCTATTTAGGTAATTCTTTTTTTTATTATGTTTGCAAATTTCAAGATAAAGTTTGTATGAAAGAAAAGATTATATCGGAATACTACGATTTAATTCTATTACATTACAGCCAGTAGAACTGTAACAGATTATTTATGTTATGTCCAGATATAGTCTGTGGAGGTACTCTGTATCCTCTATGGTGGTAATTAGTGATGGTAATTACTCTATGGTGATGTGTATTGTACTGTAGTAGACTGTAATAGAAATAAGAAATAAAACATGTTATGATGATACTTGTTAATACCCCTAATATTAATACAAGAACAAAACGAACTTTTTTGTCTTTTTTGTTTTATTATTTGCAGTATGATTTTAATAGAATTAAAAGAACAAAAAGTTCATTGTACGGAAAAGTGAATAATTTGTATAAAATTTTATATATAAAAAAATGAGTAAGTGAGACAGAAGACAATGGATCTTTAAAAATATTAACAGAATTAACTAATTTGATCTTATTTTATTTATTACTGTATCCGTCCGAATCTCAGGTAGCTAAATCAATATTTTACGTTATTTTCAATTTGCAATGGAATGGCATAACCACGTTCATTATTAAATCTATTGGTACTATCTTACGTAAAAAGTTAGACAACAAAAATATTAAATATGCTAAGTAATAAATAAATATTCTATCGTAGCGTGACGAGATTAAGTTATATATGAATAAAACATTATTTTATGATCATAAGAATAATTTAAGTAAGCAATTTATTTGCTAATATTATCAATTGACTTCGTAAAGGAGAAAATTCTTAATTATATTTATATCGTTGTTTTTTTTGTGCATTATATTCATTATATCATATCAGCCGTTAACTGATGCTGAACATAGGCTTTTCTGATAAGGAGGGTTTTGCCAATAGTTGCCATGTTTGGCAGGCGGATTGACAACCGCAGTTAGGCTTTGGTGGTATTTATGGGGGGACGCTACTCCTTTGATGATTAAGTTCCCTTAATCGCCATTCACGAAATTCACGGTGGAGGAAGGGGTAGCCTATTTTAAGCCAAGATCTTTCTCAAATTGTATTTTTTTTTTGTTAATCGACAAAGCTTACTTTCGTAATATTCCTATTTAAATTCAAGGAAAAAAATAAGTTCCTCCAAAATAACGGTTTACCATAGTCTCTACTCTACTCGTTCTCACTCAAAATATCTTTATATCTTAATTTCAAATAACAAAAGCAACGTTGAATATTTAAAATAATCAAAACAACGCGACATCGCCTTTTCATTAGTCATATAATATTAACAAGATAGGTATATAACGGATCTTGACATTACTATAAATTAAATTAAAAAAGTGCTACAGCAATAAATCGTCTTAAATAATTAACGTTTTTGCTATAATGTTATTGATAGATGTTCCATATTTCACTTGACTGTTGAAATAAATTCAATCAATTTTATAAACAAATTTTAAAGTTGTTATAGGTGTATATATAACATTAGTGTATAAGCGTACGCGATTGTAAAAAAAATATGTTCAAATTTACGCGATAGTAGTTTGCTTACGATTTTCATCATTACAAAGTTTTTGCAAATTTAAATTGGTTGGTTAATTCATCAATATATTTTTTAAAAGATATAATCATGAATATTTATTTTACAATAACAATATTAATTTAAATTACGATTTCCATAATTACAAAGTTTTTGCAAATTTAAATTACTTGTCAAATTTATCATTTTATTATTACAAAATATTCTCATAAATATTTATTTTACAATTCGAGTAATAATATTAATTTAATTTACGATTAACATCATTACAAAGTTTTTGAAAATTTAAATTATTTGTTTAATTATTAATTTTATTATTATAAAATATTTTCATGAATATTTATTTTACAATACCCATTAATTTAATTATTAATAGTTTATTTTGTATTTTGCTTATCATCAAACATTATATGTTATACTATGTATTCACCAATACGGAATCTATTCTTTTTTACTTTCGTTTTGGCCTCAAATCAATTTAGTACAGATTAGATACGTATTCTTATACACAGCAAAATTTTGAATAGTTCACTCTGTATCCGCTTATGCACTATGGGGAGACCATTATTAAATAAATGATTTATATGAACGTAGATACCCAAGTAACGTAGCAAAAAGCTCATTGAACGTTTGTTGAACTCACGATTGATTATATAATAAGTAGTAGTAATATTAAATAATAATTTAATTACGGTGCCACGCAGAGACGGTCAAGTTCGGAATGGCCGAAGGGCAAGGGCGTTATACAAACTGGTTTCCGATGAACTCCATGATATTTTATAATAAATGTTACGAAATTTGTATGTACAATGTTGAGTATTACGTCACTAAAGCGGCAGCTGATGACAATTGTTTCCGACTTCAGAGGTTGAGAAGAAGGAACTTTAGATTTATTAAGTGGAAAAGTTGAATAATATTGTAATAAACATAATAACATATTAGGTAATTGATTTTTAATATGTATCTATATCTGCCCGCTGATAATTAATGCTCGTTTTTACTCAAGATCTGCCAGAAAAGAACTCTTACTGAATTAAGCTCGCCCGTTGTACATCTTTATTTAAAATAAATTATAACAATATAATTTTTGTGTACAATAAAGTATAAATAAATAAATTATTCTTACCTTCACTTTTTTAATCTTAGTACGTTATACTATCTATGTTTTTAACTAACCTTATAAAAGGAGGGTACTCAATTCCAATGTTTATATAATTTAAGATTCTGAATTCCACTGTGCCTTTGTGTTTAGTGTTTTTGTATGATTACACGTCTTTACCAATTAAGAACATAATTTGTTAATTTATTGGTATTATTTGATTGGTATGATTATGTTACATATGTATTTTTGTTACCACATAAGCCGTTAACTGTACACTGCCTTCTCCATAAGGGGGCTTTGTCTGAACTTACTAAGCTTGGCAGACGGGTTGTCAACTGCAGTTAGTCTGGGTTAGTCAGGTGATATTTTAAGAGGGACGCTGCTGCCCATCCTTTGAAACTTAAGTTCCCTTAGTCGCCTCTTACGGCACCTACTGGAAAGGAAGGGATGGCCTATTATATGCCGGAATTATACGGCATGTATTATTATTATAATTATTACTTAAGTAATCGAAAATACCATTATTTTTCATGCTCAACTGTCAGTCACCCTTTCTGAACAATAACAGTATAATATTTTTGTATTGAAAATAAAGATCACAGAAAGGTCACCAGTAGTCTCGTGCTCATTACGTACCTCATAGCCTGAACAGTTCGTAATTTCGTTGCATTGAGTAGCTTGTTTGATCAAAATCCAATTGTTCCATAAGTCAGTTGTAACGGCAGAATTGATTGAAATAGTTTCTTTGCTCGGGATTGGCTATTTTCTTTGTTTTAATAAATGAAATATATTTTAAGATCATTTCTACAAAAAAAAACAAACTTATGATACGATACGATTTAAAAACTGACCTATTAATCCAATTTTTTTAAAATATATACTTTCAGATAAAAAATTAATTAATCGATTTATAAATAACGAAGTTCTCAGGTAATAAACATAAAAAAAATCAAATGTATTGAAAACATGTTGCTTTATTAAAATCGAGTGGAAAAAAGGAAATATGCTCACAATTATATTTCCAGATGACCTAGTAATATTATTGATTGCCATTCTAAGTTGTATAAAAAAAAAGTGTATAATTCTATTTTCGACGTGATACTGTACCTTTTCACATTGCAACGATTAGGTTTGCTTGTAATATGAAAGCGAAAATGTCATTTAAACTCTATTTTTTTTTAATAATCTTGAATAATAGGTAAACAAACTGATAATTCATCTAGTGGAAAATGGTATCCGTCACTTATCGATATGAATACACACAAAATAAATAGACTTACCGCCTATGGGTACCTCTAATACGTTTTTGTTCCTGATGACTATTATGTTATGCCTTCGTACCCTGTGATTTTATTATCATATTCTATCTTTTAAATCAAAACAGTAATGAAATCACAGCTATGACAGAAACACGAGCAGGGGACAAAAGTATTCGAGCAGACAACTTTGTTATAAATACTTCTCCTGTTAGAATATTTTTATAACTGAAAAATAATTTGAATTTTAAATTGATACTCGTACTTATTTAAAGCTTTCGGTATTAACTATATTCTCTATTCAAAATAGCTTAAGCATTTAAGATTGAAAAAGTTTGCAGTAAAACAAAATTATAAAAGAAACTGTACTTCTATTTCTGCGATCTCTTTATTAATGATTCATTTCCTTCCAGGCAAGCAACGGCTCGTACATTCTTGACATCACCGGCTGTCGTCTTCCACTTATAAGAGGTAAGAATAAAATGAAGTAAACTTAGCATAATGCGCAGTAGAACATACATAATTAACATTAATATTGATAAATGTGGTAGCTACATACTTATAAAAATTTGCTCTTTAGTACATACATACATACATATCTGTCACGCCTGGCTCCCATTAGGGTAGGTAGAAACAATGGAATGAATGCTCTTTAGTTTTCACACGATTTTAAAATAATTACGATTACAAGTATTGAAATGAAAATTAATTAAAAATCATTAATTCGGTTGTATATGTGAATGTATATATTATGGAGGCATTATAATTATATACAATTATATATAAAAATAAATAAAGAGCATGTAACGTTGTGAATATTAATTATAAAGAAATAATTAAAGAGCATTTCATATAAGAAAACTCGTATCTACTTTAGTAGAATAAATTTATAAAATTTATGCACGTTTTGGAGGAAATTAAATTTATAGGTTTAATTTTCTATACATCGTCTTTGTAAACATATTTATTGTGAAATTAATTAGATATCACTCTGGTACTCTTTCGAATGCAAGTTTCTCGATTTTTAAAATACTAATTGTACTACTACTAAACTATTTGAATAGGCGTTGCAAAAACTATTAATTTATGCCATATCTCCATCTGTACTAAAACCACTATGAAAAATGGGATGATGTTTTATACTATTCTCTCTTACTCTTTTAATTTTTCAGCACATCTTGTCAATCTTTAACAAATTTGAAATTATTTTATCTATGATTTAGCATTCAAGAGTTAAAATTTTATTAAAATAACGAAATTGTCGGTGTTTATACTATAAATGTCGCATTTGAACCGTGTCTGTGTATTAAAAAAAAAACGGTTTAAATCAGATAAATGATGATATTCATTTAAATGGATACGACGTCGAGCATCCATGTTAGAAATAAATGAATTCAGTTCTTTTCCAAAAGCGGAATCTATATAAAACAAACATTTCTTAGCTACATATGACATCCTGACACTGTATAAGTGAGACTTTATATCAATTCTTAAAAGATAATCATAGTTTACGCCTCATAAAACTTATCAAATACAATAAACGTTCCACATATAAAAAAAAAGGCCCAAATGATAAAAAAAAAATACGACAATTTTTTGTAAAAAAGAAATTTTAATTAAATTTTTATTCGATCTATTTACATTGAACTTGATTAGGTTTTTCTTTACGTTATTAGTAGTTACACGTATTTATACCTATTTCATTATAATAATTGATGAGAATAGAATACAGGATATTCCAACAAACTTATCTCAGGTTAAGCATATAATTCTTTCATAGTTAATTGTTCGACCCTATGCAGTTTCCTATATTTTGTGATACAGAATAATGCGCCACCTACATCTATAATTCTCTGTATTCTATGAGATGTTTATGCAATATATGCTGGTCACTGAATTCTTGGTAGGCAGGTTAGAACCATACTATTTTATTCTACAAATTCACTGTGAATTTTATTATCTATTTCTCCAGATATTTGATTTCCTTAGTCATTTTTCTTTAGTGATATTCACGGAAAGAGACTTCTCTCTTTCTTCCCATGGGTATTATAAAAGATGGAAAGCCTAAGTTAAAGTCAATATGGAAGACTTCGAGGTAAAAAGATGTTCAGAATCTATTGTTTTTACTCTCAACCAGCATGATATTTAATTAATAGCGATTTGCAATATGCATAATAAATACTCTTGTTGTTAAAGATTTCATGCGTGATCACACGCCATTGATTTCATGCGTGTTACTAACATATTATCTGTTACCTAGTTGACATTTCCGTGAAGCGGTATATTAATAGCTTGCATTTGTTAAAGAGTAGAAGCAACTATGTTTCAGTAAAGAATTCTCTCAACAGAAAGATACAAAATTAGTATATATATACATTTTATTTCATAACAGAAAAAATATAGTAACAACTAACTAGATATTATTGAGTTTATTCCCTTAATGGGATAAGTCCGCCATTATATATTAAATCTTTTAGTGTGTCCAATATACATTATGTACAATAAAGATTTTACAATACAATACACTATATATTGATATACTATTGATATATTTCACCTCGATAGAACTTATTGTGGTAAAGTATATTAATAAATGACAAAATGTTTTGTATTATAGATACATTAGATAGAAATGTTTATATTTAAGAAGCAGAAGTGTACATCATCAAGAAGATTTTGTAGAAATACACCAAATATTGATATTACAATACCAATTTTATAGAATGCTCTAAAAATGCTTGTTTATTATGCCAAAACAAGATTATAAATTGTTTTTTGAATACGTTCTCTCAAGAAGTAATGTAAAATTTATTGTAGATTTTTTTTTAAATCACACACCATAATTTTTTATTTTAAAATACATGTTATTTTGCGAAGTTTATATAACTGGTTTGTGGATAAAAATATTTTGTCTAATTCCGTTGCCATTAGTATTGTATGCAATCGCCAACATATGAGTATTGACTATTTCTAGTAGAAGCTCTACAACCTTTCGTATTAGTCATCAATCTCTGACCGTTATACAATCTACGCACATATTGCGACACATGTTTCATTTCCAAACGAGGCGTCGTCAGGCAATTAATCGATCGCTGCTCAAAGCCTAGTGATGAACGGTCAATAAACAAAATATTTTCAATCAACTAACTAGTAAAACGATCTATATTTAAATATATTTACTTAACAAAAATCTAACAAAATTATTTATAAAAAATGTCTATAAATAATTTTTGGAAATGTACGTTTGTATCAAGGAATTGATAGACTAAGTAAAGTGGAAGATGAACTTGTAAAAGCTATACTCAACTAAAGAATAATATTATAACCTTTATGAAAAAAAAATAACTCGAGAATCTTCTGGCAAAAAACTAATGACTAATAATAACTAATAACTTTTCTCTTTGTTCTAAACCTAAATTCTATATTCTATCTCTAAGATTGTAAGACTGTTTGTTACCTTTTGCACTATTTTCTGTTAAGGATAACTGCATCTTAACATATAGTAATGAAGTATGTTGCAACAGTGTAAAAAGCCTGTCTACTTATCATTAGCTGCCATAATTATACTCTAGGGAACTCTTTAAGTGTTTTAACAATTTATTCGTGACGAGATGTAGCCCGCAGTTTTCTTCGTGACATATGTATGGAAATGATAGGCGCCGACGCTCCAGTCCACACTTCAATTACGTGGTTCTGTGTACACCTTTTTTTTGCATTTATGCATTCCTAACACTTTTATTTTGTATTATTTTGTAGTAGCTAATTGTTATGTGTTGTTAGTTTTTAATCATTCTATAAGAAGACTAAAGCTTGATTCACATTGTAATATTGATTGATTATAACTCGTTCTCAGTCTGATCTTCGTATGGTAAAAAATTATCACACAGACACATCTGTAATACTATCTATTACAATTCTATATGGAAATTCTTGTTTATTTGACTATCACAATATATAATTCCACTAGCCACCAATTTCCACTATAATACACGGATTTACTCAGTTGAATAAGGGTAAAATATATTCTACGCTCGTATAATATTCCCCTTCCTTTCTCGTACGTATTGTAAGAAACGACTAAAGGAACTTAATGGTCGAGGAACAGATAATATAATATAAGGGCAGCAACATCCCTACTTAAACACCACCAAAGCCTAACTGCAGTTGCCAAGCCGCTTGCCTAGCATGGCAACTACTGACAAAACCTCCCTTTATGGGGGAAGCCTATATTTAACAATATACAATTAACAGTTGATATATTCTACGTGTAAATCCTGGATATTATCTATATGTGCATTAAATTTCATTCATGTCATCATACTGTTAAAGCGTTAAAGTTAACTTAATAGTTACAAATATTCAAACACCTTCACAAATGTATTCACACTTATCCCGCTGCTTTGTTTATGTGAATTAGGGTAAAAATAACCTGTGTGTGAATCCAAGATATTATCTATGTACCAAATTCCATTCAAGCTAGTTTAACAGTTTAAGCATTATTGTTACCAAATATCAAAACATATTTACGAACTTTCACATTTATATTAATAAGTATAAAAAGTACATATATATATATATATATATAAAAGGATATTCAGGTCATAGGTTTTCTCCACTCGCATTACACTCTAAACGACTACTTGAATGACAAATATGCATAGTGTTAGTCGATCATGCACGGGTTTTAACAATCATATAATTTTAGACATAATACATTTAAATCAATACACATAATATTAACAAAGATTTAAAAGAGTAACTGTTGAGTTTTTTTATGCAACTTAGAACGGCAAACAAGTTGACGACCCATCTGATGGAAAGTATAACCGTCGCCTATAGACATGAGCAGTACAATAGACATAGTATACTCTTTCGTCCATGATACCTCCCATACGTTGCCTCCGTATCCTGTAAATTCACTGCCATATCCCACCTTTCAAACCAAAACAAAGCATACAAACACAACTGCTTCACGGTAGAAACACGAATGGAACAGAGGTATCCAAGCAAACGACTTTTATACAAAAACTCCCTCTGGTAAGTTCTTGAGTTTCTTGTAGGCTTTTCTCAACAGATAACAACCTTTCGAATCTTGCAATAGATAAAAAAAATGACAATTTAAAAATGCTATTCGAATAAAGATAATTTGAATTTAAATTTGAGTCCAGAACTTTACTCTGTTTTCTATCAGCTGCTGCAACTCTCACATTTATATTAGATAATTAGTAAAATTAGTTATTTTTTATATGTCAATGCTCACAATATATGTGTCGTGTGGACTTTTAATAAGGAATCACGATTGGCTAAGCATTAATAATTAATAATTATAGCCGTACACCGAACAATATATAATTACACCGATTATAATGACTATGTTACATGATATAGTAGACTAGACATGTGTAATGTTAATGAACTATCAGTTATTTATTTTTTTATAAAACTAATCATGTTAGTTTGATTATTTGCAT